GCCTTGCTCAGCGCGGCGCCCTCGCTGCTGCTGCTGCTGCTGCTGCTGTGGGCGGGGCTGCTGCAGGGCGCGCCGGGCGGGGGCGCGCCGCCGCAGGAGCTGCAGCTGCAGCAGCCGCTGCTGCAGCAGCCGCTGCTGCAGCAGCTGCTGCTGCTGCTGCTGCTGCAGGGGCCCAGGGGCCCCCCATTCAGCTCAATTGTTAAACCCTCTCCAGCCCCATCATCTCCTCTAACATGAGAGTCATTTGTTAAAGATGGAATCCTCACAATATGTTCCGAGAGGCAGCCCCTCCCGGTGACGCGCATGCACCCCACACTTCCGGGGGCCCCCGGGGGCCCCCCGGGGGCCCCCATTCCCCCCCACGCCCCGAGGGCCCCCGCAAACGCCCCGGGGGCCCCCCAGGGGGCCCCGGCCCCCGGGGGTCCCCCAGCGGGGGGCCCCTGGGGTACTCCTGGGGGGCCCCCCGCGGCAGCGGGGGGCCCCGGGGGGCCCCCCGGGGAGGCCCCGGCCGGGGAGGGGGCCCCGGGGGGCCCCCCAGGGGCCCCCCGGGGGGGCCCCCCCGGGGGGGCCCCCCGGGGCGTGAGGGCAGTGGAGTTTCGGGGACTTGCAGCAGGAGAAAAGAAAGAAGGAAATGCAATTCCACTTTTGAAAAGTTCAATTATGTGTTGAGCAACAACACAGAGGGGCATGGCTTCTGTGGAGTCGAAGACAGAAGACCAGGTGCTGCGGGAATAAAAAAAAAATAATAATAATAATTAATTAATTAATTTATTTATTTATTTGTTAGTTGTTTATTTGTTTGGATCTTTGCGGGGGATTTAATTGGCTGGTTGGCGCAGAAAGAAAAAGGAGGGAAATAGACAGAGAAGAGAAGGGGCAGAAAATGGACAAAAGAAATAAAAGAAATAAAATAAAAAATACATGAAATAAATGAATAAAAAGAAATAATGAAATAAAATAAAAAATAAAAAAATAACGAATTTAGAATACAATTAATCATCTGGTCCGCACCGAACGCATGCACAGGCGCGCAAAAGCCCCTCCGCAAACCCTAAACCCTAAACCCTAAACCCTAAACCCTAAACCCTCACCTCAGCTGGCCAATGGTTCTGCAGTTGGTGAGGCCCCGCAAAACGTCTTCGAAGTAGCTGCCAAGAAAAGGCCGCAAGTCTTGCAGCCTCGACACGTAGCGCCCCTTGCGCTCTTCAAACAAACACAAACCCTAAACCCTAAACCCTAAACCCTAAACCCTAAACCCTAAACCCTAAACCCTAAACCCTAAGCCCTAAACCCTGAAGTCTGAGCTGGAGCTCAAAATCCTACGCACTAGTCCCTGAGCCTCCCGCTGCCTCAAACGTTGTTCCCTAGCGCCGACCCCCAAAACCCTAAACCCTAAACCCTAAACCCTAGAGGCTGACCGAGGAACTCGCGCTGCACAATGAGCCTGCCCTCTTCCCTCTGCATGAGGATTTCCTGGTTCTCCTCAGTCACTCTTTGGACTTCCTTTTCGAGAGCAGCAATTTTCAATTTGTGTTTTGTTGTTTCTGCTGCTCTCAGTTTAAACTCTTCTTCTAATCTTCGACAAGCTTCTTCTCTTTGCTGCAGCCGCCGCCGCTGCTGCTCCAGCTCTTTCCGCATTTGCTTCTGCCAGCTGGGGCCCTCCCCCTCGTTTTCGGGGCCCCCGGGGGGCCCCCCGAGGGGCCCGGGGGGCCCCCCAAGCAGGGGCCCCCCGAGGGGGCCCCCCAGGGGGCCCCC